GAAAGGTAGGAATGGGGCCAGGTGATGAGGAGCTTTAAATGCCCAGTAGAGGAGTTTAGATTTGATTCTAGAGGTAATAGGAAGCTCTTGGGGCTGATTGAGAGGGCAGAGTCTGGAGAAGGGGTGATGTGATCAGATCCTCCCTTTAGAAAAATTGTCTTGGAAGCTGAGTGGAGGCTGCATTGAAATGAGGAGAAACTTTAGACAAGGACACCCATCAAAATGCTCTTGTCCAAAGGAGAGGTGATGAGGGCCTTAACTTGAATGGTGGCTGTGGGAGTAGGGAGGAGGGTATATGTACAAGAGAGATATCTTGAAGGTAGAAGCAGTAAGATTTAAGAACAGATTGGCTATATGAGGTGAGGAAAAGTGAGGAGTCCAGAAAAACACCAAGGAATGAGTCTGGGTGACCAGAAAGATGGTGGTGCCTTCAAGAGTATTAGGGAAGTTCGTAAGAGGGGAAAGTTGGGGCAGGGGTGAAGGAATAGAATAAATTCTGTTTTCAACATGTTGACTTTGTAATGCTTATAAGACATCCAGTTCAAGATGTTCAAGAGGCAGTGGGTGATTCATGAGCAGAAGTCAGGAGAGAAATTAGAGCTGCATATATGGCTCTGGGAATCATCTGCATAAAGACAATAATTGACCGTGTATAGGAACTAACGGAAATGGGAAATAAGATCACCAAGTGAGATGTTATAAAGCAAAAAGAGAAGAGTACCCATGGCAAAGTCTTGGAGGACACTCATGGTTATTTGACATGACATAAATGTTTGTTCAGTCATTTCAGACTCTCCATGATCCCATTTGCAGTTTTCATGGCAAAGATATTGGAGTGGTTTGCCATTTCCTTCTCCAGCTCTAAAATGGATGAGGAAACTGAGACAAACAGGGGTAAGTGACTTGCCCAAGGTCTCACAGCTAATAAATGTCTGAGGCCAGATTTGAACTTACAAAGATGAGCCTTCTATCTATTGTGCCACCTAGCTGCCTCATGACATAAATGAAAACCTAACAAAGGAAATTAAAAAGAAGTCAGAAAGAGAAGAGGTGAAACAGGAGGGAAGATTGTTATAAAAGCCTAAAGAGATGTTCCAGGAGAAGGTGATCAATAGTGTCAAATGCTGCCGATGAAACTTTGGGGAAAGGCCATTAGGTATGACAATTAAGAAATAACTGGTAACTTTGGAGAGAACTGTATCAGTTGAATGATGTGTTCAGGAGCTAGACTGGAGAGGTTTGAGCAGCAAGTTAGGGAAGAGGAAGTGGAGGCATAGACTACAGATTGTAGATGGCTATTTCAAAGAACTTAGTCACACAGTGTAGGAGATATGTAGCATGATTGTTACCTGTGGATGATAGGATCAAGTGAGGAATGTGGTTTTTTTTGCTACAAATAATATTTTCCCCCACAATTATATATCAAGAAAATTTTTAGCATTCATTTTTATAAGATTTGAGTTCCAAATTTTTCTCCCTCCTTGCCTCTCCTCCCCTTTCTGAAAATAGTAGACAGTTTGACATAGTTTATACATATGCTATCATGTAAAGCATGTTTACATACTCACTACAGTTGTGGAAGAAGAAACAGATCAAAATGAAAAAAAACATGAGAAAGAAAATAGTAAGTGAGAAAATATACTTTGATTTGTATTCAGAATCAAGCTGTTCTTTATATAGATATAAATAGCATTTTCCTTCATCAGTCCTTTGCACTTGTCTTGGATCATTGTGTTGCTGAAAAGTTGTCATTCATAGCTGATCATCATATGATATTGCTGATACTGTGTACAATGTTTTCCTGGTTCCACTCATTTAATTTTGCATCAGTTGCATAAGTCTTTCCAGGTTTTTTCTGAAAGGTGCCTGTTCTTCATTTCTTATTGCACAATTGTGTTCTATTACATACATACAGCAGCTTGTTCATCTGTTCCTCAACCGATGGGCATCCCCTCAATTTCCAATAGTTTGCCACCGTGAATAAAGCTGCTATAAATATTTTTGTCCATGTAGGTCTTTCCCCCTTTTTTATTGATCTCTTTGGGATCCAGGCTTAGTAGTGGTATTGCTGGATCAAAGGTTATGCATAGTTTGGTTACCCTTTGAGTATATTTCCAAATTACTCTCCAGAATGACTGGATCAGTTCTCAAATCCACCAACAATGCATTAGCATCTCAATTTTCCCACAACTACTCCATTCCAGCATTTGTCATTTTCCTTTTCTGTCATATTAGTCAATCTGATTGGTGTGAGTTGGTATTTCAGAGTTGTTTTAATTTGCATTTCTCTAATCAAAAGTCATTCAGACCACTTCTTTGTATGCCTAGAGATACTTTTGATTTCTTCATCTGAAAATTGTCTATTCATATCCTTTGACCATTTATCAGTTGGAAAATGGCTTGTATTCTCATAAATTTGACTCAGTTCTCTATATATTTGAGAAACGAGGTATTTATCAAAGACACTTGCTGTACAGATTATTCCGCGGTTTCTGTTTGCCTTTTAATCTTGGGTGCCTTGATTTTGTTTGTACAAAAGCTTTTCAATTTAATATAGTCAAAATAATCTAGTCTACATTTTTTAATGCTCTCTATCTCTTGTTTGGTCATGAATTCTTCCCCTCCCCATAGATCTGACAGGCAGACTATTCTTTGCTCTTCTAATTTGATTGCTTCATTGTCTATGGTAGCTTTTAGCAAGATGAAGTTTACTTCCTTATTTAATTAGGTGTATTTTGATTTTACTTTGTCTAAGACCAGGATTGCTACTCCTGCTTTTTTTTTTTTAACTTTAGCTGAAGCATAATAGATTCTGCTCCAGCCCCTTACCTTTACTCAGTGTGTGTCTCTGTGCTTGAAGTGCTTTTCTTATAAACAACATATTGCAGGGTTCTAGTTTTTGATCCACACTGCTATCTGCTCCTGTTTTATGGGAAAGTTCATCCTATTCATATGTATGACTACTACTTGTGTATTTCCCTTCATCCTATTCTTCCTCTGGTGTTGCAATGACGGAATGTGTCAGGGATTGTGGCTGGTGCTGCAGGAGACCGTAGGTATCTGCAGGCTTGTCTGGTGCTGAGCTAGGGCCCTAGTGGTGGTGCCTGGCATGTCCTGGGGGCAGGTGGGGTTTTTCTGTATTTCCCTAGGGCTACATTGATGCACCTGGAGTTCTGGCCTCGGCAGTATAGCCCTATCTGGGGCTATACTGAAGCAAGTGGTGGTGCTGGGAGTTGGAGTTTGCTGCTTCCCTTGGATATGCTGAGTTGTGTGTGTGTGTGTGTGTTGTGTGTGTGTGTGTGTATGTGTCCTGGTTATGGCCTTTGCCTGCTGCACCATCCTGGGGCTCAGGATCTCCTACTGGTTTGCTGAGGTGGGGCTTGCTGCTGGCTTCCTGTCCTTGAATGCACTCCCTTTTTACCTGAGTGAAACAAACCTTTCTTGTGGATCCTATAAGTCTCCAGGGTGAAAACACTGCTCTTCCCCTTCTTTCTGTGGGCTCCACTGTTCCAGAATTTGCTCTGGGGTACTATTTTATGATTGTTTGGAGGTGAATATGTGAGAGCTACAATGATTTCCTGCTTACTGTGCCATCTTGGCTTCCAGAAGTCCCAAGGGAGGATTTTGAGTCTTCATATTTATGTCACAATTCATTTTCTGCCCAAAGCTGTTCACATTCCATCTGAATGCTATGTTTCTTTGCATACATGTAATGAAGGACTGATTAATAAGCCCAGTTCCTATGAGCCTTAGCAGAGTGCAGCTGATGCAGTTCGTCACGTGGAAGAGGCAGGGGAGTCTGCTTTAGGAAAATTGTGATGATTGTATAATGCAAATGCCTTGGAAAGGCATTTGGAGTATGCATATTTTGGAATGTGCACTAACATTCTTTCACACATTCTCCTACCCATTAATCACATGGTCAATAGCAGTTGCTTTGTGTGGCTGCATTTGGACGTGAATTTGGTGGAAGCTTTGTTTCTAGAAAGTTTATAAGGTGTGTGAGCCCACTGTCTCCCCAGGGGCCAAGAAGTTATAGGGGAGAGTAAGTGGTTGAGGTGATGGGGTGTTTGTATTTGTTTATATCTTTAAAGTAAATATTCCTTTGCAAAAAGCTAATTGATGTTAAGTAGTTAAATAGTGCTGTGGCTCCAGTCACCATAAAAAGGATACCCCAACCCTGAGGGTTACCTCTAGGAAGATGTAGCAGCCTAGTGCTAGGAAAGTGGGCCTAGAATACTTGTTACATATCTATTTTACTAGTTTTGTTTTTTGTAGTCAGAAGTTCTTTTCTGGCTCATTTTAGGCATCCAAAGGTGTGTTTGCAACAATGGCAATATCTTATATCCCTCAAGAGTTGTTTTAAATCTTTTCTTTATACAAAAATACGTTTTTTTCACCTTTTCTTCACAGAACTATTCTTTGTGAAGAAGGCCTTAAAGGGACTTTTAAAGGTACATTACCTCAGTTCCCCATTGTTTCCAGCCCTGTTTATCAATCAGAGTTGGGGGAGGCTCTGGTAGGAAAGGAGATGCTAAGTCTTCAGCTTTTTGTATCACCTGCTCTTTGTCACATACCCCAACCTGCAGATTGTCATGTTCTTCCTACCTTGGGGAGGAACTGAGACACAAGGGCCCAGTCTTTCTGCTGAGGTGGACTTATCTGATTTGTCTTAAAGTTACCTGTAAAAGCCCTTGCAGATCTTCAGTGACCAGCCTTTAACGTGTTACTACCTTGACATACTTATAATACAACCCATTTAATTTCATTTTTCCTGAGTTTTGCCTCCTTAATCAATGTGAAAGCCCAAATGAAGAATTTTTCTTTTATCAGGACAGCATAGCTTATAGGAGAAGAGAAGGGGAATGGCTCACTTATCAGAAGGTTTTAGTGGGAGGAGGAGCTTGAAAATCACAGCCAGATAAGCAAGCAGGAAAATGGTCCTAAGGTACCAAGGGAGACAGAAAAGGAGAGAGAGTGAGCAAAGGTCTAGTTAAGCCAGAGATCTAAAAATTAAGAGCTGCTTACATGTTAGTCGAGAGGAGTATTTTGTGCCTAGAAAAATCTTTCTCCTGATTTCTCTATTCAGCAGGGACAGCACACCTAGTCACGTAACATTAGATGTCTCTTTCTCTTTATTTCCCCTGTTTCAGGAAATGGGCAGTCCTTATGTCAGACAACTTTCATTTTGCTGATCACACACAGCCAGGCTCCAGGCACACCCTATACCAACACTGATCCCAAAGCTCAGCTCTGTGAGGAAGGAGACAGAAGGTAAAACCACAGTGCCCAGATTGGCCAGGTAAGGGGTTGATGGCACCTCTTCAGGGGGGTGGGCGCCTTGCTTTGTCCAGGGGCAGACCTTCCCCTCTCAGACAGTCTGCTTTATTTCTCTGATTGCTTAAAATCTTAGCTTTGGCTCCTGCTGAGTCTGGGTGAAGTACATGTGTGTTGGCCGAATCCCCACTTCCTCCCAGAGCCCCAAGGTTGGTTCCTAGAAGACCATCCCTTCTCAAGTGTTTGGTTGTCCTTTCACACTTTGCCAAATTTGTGAGTGAGGATGTTCTTGAGAGGTGGTGGGTGAGGAAGAAAACCTGCACTGGATCAGCAAATCTAAAGGAAGGAACAAACAAATCTGCCTATAGATTTGGGTCAAGGTCATTACTGAGTTGAGGTTTGGATCATTATAAAAAAACAGGGACTCATAGCAAAGTCATTACCCTAAAATGAAAAGCTAGCCTTACCCTTAACAGAGAAGGTGGTGTTCTCAGTGTTGTAGTTGAAAGACCAATTTCAGTTTCCCCAAAATGTCCCCCTTTCTTTTTCCTGCCTCAAATACCTGTTCCAGATCTCATGATTAGACACTAATTTCTTTGGGGTAACCATTGCTTTCTCCAGGTGTCCTCTAGCTACATTCTTTCCTAGAGGAAGATTTACTTAGCCTTTCCCAAAGGAAGGGAAGAAAGCCAGCCCAGGCTCCCCTTCCTTTGACCTTCCTTCTTGGTACTCTGGCCATTCCTCTCCAATCCTGGGTGTTCCCAACAGCCCCCTGGAAAAAAGAAAGGGGGTGAAAAAAGGAGGCAAAAAGGCATCAAAGGCAGACTGAGCTCACTTCACAATTTTGTTATACTCTGCAGTGAGCCAGCTAAGAGTAGCCAACCACGGCTGCTGTGATACTCACAAAGAATACCTGAAATAATAGGGGAGGGCCATGTCATGGAGCTGGAAGGGCCCTGTAGGAGCAGCTATGTGGGGCTGGATGGCTCCATTTCTCCAAACTAAGAAGTGTGTGTGTGTGTGTGTGTGTGTGTGTGTGTGTGTGTGTGTGTGAAGTGGGATGGGGGAAGGAGTAGAGAAGATTGGCCAGGTCTGCCACCAGGAAAGTAAGGGATAGAATGGAGAGCCAAAGCTGACGGCCTTTTCCTTACAATGAACTTGGAGGCTTTCTTTATTACTCTCCCATGTCTCTCTTGTGATGAAGACAATTTTGAGGTCTTCTCTCTGGGAATTCTGTGACTATACAGTTTCATCTCCAAGCAGGGCCACTGTCCCAGGGAAGCTGACATCTGAGCATCTTTGATGCCCCCAACCTTCTCTTTCTGCTTTCCTCCATGAGCTTTCCTTCTTCACCAGCAACCCAGAGTCCTAATGCTGCCCTATTTCTCCTGTCAGAGAGTAAAGTCATCTAAAAGACTCACCCATAACTGCTACAAAAGTATTAGAGTTGCAGTGTATTATCATCCTGCCCACAAACTGTGTGTCCTCTATAACAGGATCTCAGGGAGAAGGCAATGTTTAACTCAAAAGAATGTCCTACCAAGGAGAGAATTTCAGGAAGAGGAAAGAAGACATTTTAGGAGAAGAGATTTGCTTGGTATCCTTTAGACCCTAAGATGTAATGTGGCTAGACCATCTGCCGTGTTCGTGAATAAGGAGAGTATTAGATAGACAGACCCTTTCTAGTCGTGGAGGTATTTAGGAGATAGTTTCCATTCCCTGTGTCTACCCTTCCCCCACAGACTGGTGGGAGCCCTGGACTTGGGTACAGCCTGTCCTTCCCCAGGCCATAGGAAAAGCTGAGGGCCTCTGCTTTGACTCCCTGCCAACACTGGGGTAGACTAACCTCTGGCTTTAGACAAGTCAATCCCTTCTATCCCTGGTTTACTCTTCTACTGTTTTTGGACATTGAGGGTTACATTGAGAAGCAGCAAAGAAAATGACGGTTCCAAATGTTTCTTCTTTAGGGTTTTAATTTTCTTTTGTTTTGTTTCTGTTTGAGAGAAGTGGCTACATTTCCTGTTTAGTACTTTCCTTTGGCTCCAGAATGAGGCTGTGTATGGGGGAGCAGCCTAGAGGCTTCTACAGGGGGCATCTATAGCCTTCCTTATATCTCCCTTTTTGCATGGATCTTTATATTTGAAAATGAACAGTCTTGCTGTCACACATACTTTGCTCTATGTTTTAGAGAAAAGCCAAAAAAGCAAGAAAGCCATTCATGCCCCATGAATGTAATCCATTTGGCAACACAGGACTGGACTAGATGTCTGAAACCTGTCACCCTCCAAGAGTTTGGTCAGAGAAAGACAAACATGATTAGGTTGTGGCCATCATTTTATTTCTCTCAAAGCAAGCAGTCATGAATTGCATGGGAGCTAACAGTTTGGAATTGAGAGATCACTTTGAGTCCTGGTGTAGTTTATATGTCCTTTGAAGAGTAAGTGTTCCCAAGGGGTGTCAATCAACTCTGATTGGTTAACACACTGGGAGTTGGGCTATATTAAAATGAAGGTCTTGGGGAAAGGGGTCACCTAAATCTTGGTCAAAGAGACATCAATTTCCATATGACCTGTCTTGACAGTAGGGAGAGTCAACATTTTCCCAGACCTGTCAGAGCAAACACAATGAGCAGGAATACACCCATTAGCCCAAACTGAAGAGTTTCCTTTACTACCTGATTAGATGTTAGTTTGGGTAAATCTTTAAGGAAGAGTTCCCACATTGGTTGGTTTCTGGATAAGGAAGCAGATTAAATTACTTTCTGGCCTTGAGTTGGGTTTTGACCAGGATAAGGAGAATAAATGCAATATCATTATTAATAATGTTCTTCAGAAGAAGAAACTGAACTTTGGAAGAAGAGGCTGGGGAAAACTCTGAATCTCGTTTTTCACAAACCCCAACACTGATTTTTACCAGTTGAAAAGGAATGATTTTTCTACTCTCTTAATAAAGAAGGAAATAACTCTTTTCCTAAAAGAAAGAAAGGGATTTTGTAACCTCAAGTTTGCATATAATGGCTTCTTAGCAAATAGGGTTTTCCTTAGTTACCAGTCACCCTTGGTTACACATGGCTTTTAGCCAAGGATTTCAAGCCAATGAAGATATTTTTACACTATGCCGAAACACAGAAGATTATTTATCCCTTTTTAAATTGACCACGTACTTTGCTTCAGAGATGGAATAACAAATGTTTTCAGTTTCATATTGCAGAGATTACGTATTTGGATGCAGTAACAGCAACATGTAGCAAAGCCCACATTATGGGCAGATAATCTGTTTAAAATCTAAAAATCCCTTTATTCCCATACTTTCTCATATTTTCTTATTTGAACTATGTGGAGAAGTGAAGACATGAAGAAGTTAGTTACTTTTCTTAGATGTTATAAAAACCCCAGACTCAATTTGGAATTCAGTCCAAGACTGGACTCAGTGAATTCCCCAAACAAGAGTTAACTAGGTAATTATGAAATCACAGTTTTTGGAGTGAAAGAAGAGATACCTTTATGTGATGATTCTCGCAAGAAATGGGTGTGCAGATTCTTTCATGGAACTCACACACCCATACTGAAGTAGAGCAAACAGTTGTATAGGATTTCTTGATTTTAACCCCCAACTTGTCCCAACATTCCTGCACATTCCGTGTGCCATCTGTGTTTATAATATCTATTATTTCTACAGAATCTGTGAAAACCAATCTCTTCTGTGTGGGACAGAGACTATTTACTCAAAAATAAAAAGACTTAGATACCTTGAAAGTAGAAAGGAGTTTATTGCTTTCTCATGAGAAAGGGTACTGCCCCTGGTCTCCATTGCCAGCCAGGAGAGAACAAGTTCGATACAGAAATCAAGGCTTGTTTATACCCTAATGCGAGCTCCTCCTCCCTAACCCCTTTCCCCTTATCCCATTGGCTGGGCTTTCTGGGGGTACAATCTATTCATGGAGACACAAGTTTGCCCAGAGATAAGACAAGGCAGGAAGTTTTGCAAGGGCAAGCAGTTCAGGTTGGGGGTGGAGCTATTCTTTCTGCTAAATACTTAAAAGCAGGATCTGAGAAGGGAGGGTTTTGAAAACAACAATACAAGAACCATTAACAAGAACTAATGACCCTTTGAGGAGGTTTCACTTCTGAGAGATCATCTCTCACACTTCTGTTTGCATATTTTGTGTAAACCAATAAACCAATAAAACAGTAAACCAATCAATCAATCAATCAATAAAGTAATAAATCAATTAATCAATAACCTAATCTCCCCCTCCCCCACCGTGTTTCTATCAAACCTGTGGAAACCAAACTGTTAATATTTCTCACATTAGATCACACAGCTGTGAGTGAGGAGACTGGGAATGGAAGCCAAGATTTCTGACTCAGTTTCTCCTCTTTTCCCAAGAGGAACTAGTTGGTAGATATACTTTCATAGCCAGTAGCACTGTGCAAGAGTGTCAATGTCAATAACTAAATTAGGAAGTGATCTTTGTGCCTTCAGGTAAGTTTTTGGCACAATATATATATATATATATATATGTATTTTTGTGTCCATTGTCAAGAATGTTGACCGCAGCCACCAGAGGGACTACCTGGCTCTGATTCCATGGTTGGAGCCTATCCCCAACCCACTGGTTTTGTGAAATCCTCCCTGCTGCACCTACAGCCCACTGTCCTGTGAACTCCCCTGCCCTCTCTCTTTATGGACCTTCAATTATTATGCAAAACAACTTATGTGACAGCTTGCAAGGCTATGCCTTCAGTGACACTTCCTCTCTGTTGAAATGTATTTAAACCCTACAATGTCTGCTTCTCTTTGGCTCCCTAGTATTTGGTCCTGGAATGGTGCCCAGAAATGAAATTCCATTGCCTCAGTTGAGGACCCTTGTTTTTGCTACTCTGGTAGTCCTTTGTATTTCATGTTGACAGATAAAATCTGTTTTGGGCCTTGCCCTGGTCAATAGGACAAGCTCAGGAAATATGGCAAAAGTTGTTTATTGTTATACCCATGCAGTGAGCAGCACTGATTGCAAACTGCCACAGCTTCTATAGACAGGAGTAAACAACTTCCATATAATAGCAAAAAAAAAAAAAGATGCTGATTGGTGTATGCATGAGGAAATGGGTTTCATGACATGTCATCTTTTCCCCATGTCTAAGTATGCATGCCCGATACTTATTTTCAGGCTGCTGTTTCTCATAGACTGGCTGCCCAAATACCCAATGGTAAAGCAAAGTTTAAACATGGAGTCACTATAGTGTAATGTTGCACGCTCATAAAACGTTACTCCCCAAAGCACAAAATCAAAATATGGGAATCGCAAGCCTACTCTTAAATTCTCAAAGTTTTAATAGGATTGTGATGTGTTATTGGGAGAAATATCTCCTCTCTGAGTTCCCATTGTGGGTAACTTCTGCCAAATATATATTTACCATATTGCAGAAATTATAAACTTCACTAATGTGATAACATGTTTCATGGGTATGTAAATGTAAAGCCTATATCAGATGGTGCGCCGTCTTGGGGAGGGGGGAGAAAAATTTTCAACTCAAAAGCATATGGAAGTGATTGTTGATAAATCCAAATAAAATTTAAAAAAAAAAGAAAGTAAGGCAACTGTTGGGCACAACAACAACAAAAAATAAATTATAGAGGTAAAAATGTAGGTTTTATTATTATGCTCAAGCATAAGCAAAGAAGATCTGAAAGCCAATTATAACCCTAGCCTTCTTAGAGACAAAATTGCATTAGAGTGACAGAGGAACAATTCTTTTATATGCTGCAATTGTGCACTTTCCTCTTAGATCAGAAAGTTAAAAAGAAGATAGATTGATAACCCCACACTTCCTTCAATGTTATGAAAGTTGAACAAATGTAGCTACTTGTCACATATCTGTGTTTTGGGCTTAGAACACTGCACTATCTATAAGCAAGGAGTGTCATTTTATATTTAACCTCACCCAAAAGAGGGAAATGCAAAGCTGCATAGAATATTGGGTAGACAGCTGGCCTCAGAGATGGGGCACAAGGAAACAAGGAGACAAGGAATTCTGGTAGAAGGACACAAGATCTCTGCCATCACTGAAATATACTGATCATGTGACTCTGGGCAAGTCACCTAACTTAGTGCCTCAGGAAAATTTCTTCAGCTTGCACCTTGCAGAGCAGGTGCTGACATGTGCCAGTAGAAGGAGGCTCATCACGAGGAATTTACTAACTCTGATGAAAACTACTCATCATGTTCAAAAAAATAAGGGGAAGGTGGGGAGTGCCAGACAAATGGAAACCAGAACTCTTTCCTCTGACAGAGATTTCAACAAAGAGTTAAAGTACTAGGGGGTTTTAAAATCTCAGTTAACCACTTCTAGATTGGGAGCTGGGGGCACCAGAGGCAGGGCACTCAGGGCTGGCCAGAGGCTCAGCAGCAGCTCTTGGAAGGCAAATCCTGACCCTTGGTCAGGTCCAGATGAGTGAAGGGGATGAAGCACAGACATGGCCTGGAGGAAGTGGCTAAACAACAGCTGGTAGCTTTAGGCCACTGTGCCATAAGGGAATAGGTCATGGCTGGTGAAGAAGTTATGGTCATTTTTAGAAATGGCTGCCCTTGGTTGGCATCGTCACAATAGTGATGGGAGAAGGCATAGAGTAAGCGTTTCCCCTGGAAACATTTGGAGAGAGGACCAGGCCAAGAGAACCACGCTTCCAAACCCTGCATCTGCTCTCTGCTACTTGGTCTCCCTCTTTTCAGTCTCTCCCTTCTCCTGTCCATCCTCCACACAGTTGTCAAATTGATTTTCCTGAAGCACAGTCTGAGCTGGTCATTCCCTTACTCAATAATCTCTATTGGCTCCCTACTACCTCCACAATCAAATATACAACCCTCTGTTTAGCATAGAAAGCCCTTTGCCACCTGGCCTCAAGTTACTTCTCTTATGATATCTGTAGTACTCCCCTTCCTGCATTTTCCAGTCCAGTCAAACTTGTCTTGCTATTAATCACCCATTCTACACTATCTCCAGTCCAGGACCCTGTGAAGGCAAGTGATTTGGCCAAGCCCACAAAGCCAGTTAAAGGCAGAGGTGTGGACCAGATCCTATGTCTTCTGACCCTGAGTCATAGTCTCTTTTTACTTCAGCACAGTTGACAATGACTTCAGCTCTCATTCTTTTTCCACAGAAGTTGTACCCTGTAATCGTCAAAGGCTATAGTGAAGACCTCTTCCCCGACAACATGAGCAAGAATGCATACTGTGGTAAGCACACACCCAGGACTCCCCTGGACAGGGTTAGAGTGGGAGGTGAATGAAATCAGATAAGATTCCCATTTTTTTTGGCCAACTAGGATTTTGGTCCTTTTCTATGTAAGCCAAAGCTGCTCTGAGCAGCATTCTCCATTTGCCTGGCCTTCACTCAGTTTCTCTTATTTCTTTATTTTCCTGTTTCCTTTATACTCTTTAATTCATTCTCCTTTTTTTCCTTCCTGTATCTTTAACTGGTCCCCTCATTGTCACAACAACAACAATAGGGAAAAAAAAGTGGGGCTAAGAGTCTGTTTGCTTCCTCCATCACTAAAATGGTCTCTACTGGATGAGGTTGGCCATAGCCAGGACATCTGGGGGTTACCACTCTGTGTCTAAGCTATCCATTCATTCCGACAAGATGTTGTGCTTCTGTAGTGTGAAATAGGGAGAAGAAATAAGAAGATGGCTTCTATAGTGACTAATATATTCTTTGTGGGAAAATATTCCCTGCTTGTTTGAGGGCATGACTATAAATGGACTGGATCAGCTGCTGACATTCAGGAGGCACCCTTCCTTCTCATATGTAACCCCATACCTCAGTCCTCCATTAGTGTCCACCCCTGAGGGGAAGAAGGGTAGTGGAAATGCCAACAGTGTTAGGTTGAGGGCCAACAGAAGATGGGAGAGGAAGACAATGGGATTAGCTACCCCCTCCACCTAATTAGATTGTCCTGTGTGCTACCACCCTCCAATTTTTATCTATCACCTGTTAGCTGTTTTTGTCCCAGGGGAAAAATACCTCATTTTGTCTATTCTCATGGCTTAATTATTGAATTGCCAGCGCATTGTGAGGTCTACCAAGAATGGTTATTGTTATGTGCAAAATCTTAGACCCCTGCCAACTGCAGACAGCTCTTCATCCCTGGCTCCATCCTTGGAGCGTTTGCTGCTTAATTAGTTACTCACTCTCTTCTCTCTTTTGTGCATTTTTCCTCTTGGCTTTTGCCAATCAATCAAAGCAATGTTGGATGTGATATTACAGCATTTGATTTTTTCAGGTTTTTGTTATGGTTACTCAGGTATGCTTAGATATGGCTTCTTCTTTATGAAAGTCTTTATTTTCCATTCATGCATACAATTATTCATGCATACACACATAACAGTTAATATTTACATAAGGGCTTTTGGGTTTGCAAAGCACTTTTCACAGGTTTTCTCAATTGGTCTTTATAACACTCCTGTGTGGTAGGTAGTTTTATTATTCCCATTTGACAGAGGAAACTGAGGCTGAAACAGCATAGATGACTTGCCTAGGACCACATAGGTAGTGAGTATCTGAGGAAAGATTCAAATTCAGGTCTTACTGATTCCAGTTCCATAGTTCTATCTATCATGTCAGATACCTACCTCTCTATATAAAATATCTCTGGACATAGTTCTGTTTTAATTAAGAAAGGATTCACTGCATGTATAAAACTGTAACTGTTAGTACAAGGCAGGTAGGACAAAAACCAAAAGAGTGACAGAGACAAAAAGCACTACATAAGTTTTAAGGATGAAAAGTTCACCTTGGGCTGAGGTCATTAGGAAAGATTTTAAGAAAGGGCTAAGCCCTGAAATTGGTCTAGGTTCTAGAGAAGTAAAGAACAATCTGACATTCTTTACGTGAAGAACAGAGTGAACAAAGTCTTGGCAATGCGAATACTGGCAGTGAGTCTTGAAAACAATGAAGAGACTCACCGGATTGGCAAAGAGAGGATAATCTACGAAAGAGTGGGTTACAAGATTAGAAAAGTAAACTGGGACTGGATTATGCAGAACCTAGAATGTCAGGCTAAAGTATTGAGTCTTTATCCCATATAATAAAGTGTTATGAAAAGCCATGAAAGGTTTTAGAAGATGGAAGTAATGTGATGAATATGGCATTTTATTTTAATTCATAATAGTATTTTCCCCACAATTATATGTGAAGAAAATTTTTAGCATTAATTTTTACTAGATTTTGAGTTCGCAATTTTTCACCTTCCCTCCTTCCTCTCCCCTCTTCTTAAAATGGTAGGTAGTTTGATATAGTTTATACATATGCTGTTATGTAAAACATATTTCCATATTTATCACAGTTGTGAAAGAAGAAACAAAAAAGTCATGAGAAAGAATAAAGTAAGTGAAAATAATATGCTTCAATCAGCATTCAAAGTCCATCAGTTCTTTATCTGGATGTGGATAGCAATTTCCTTTGTGAGTCTTTTGTGCTTGTCTTGGATCTTGTGCTGCTGAGAAGAGCTGAATCATTCATAGCTGATTATCACACAATGTTGCTGTTACTGTGTACAATGTTTTCCTGGTTCTGCTCATTTCACTTTGCATCAGTTCATGCAAGTCTTTCCATGATTTTCTGAAATCTGCCTGTTTATCATTTCTTATTGCACAACAGTATTCCAGTACATTCACATACCACAAGTTGTTCAACCATTCTCCAATTGATGGGAATCCCCTCAGTTTTCAAAATTTTGACACCATGAATAAGACTGCTATAAACATTTTTGCACACGAAGGTCCTTTTCCCTTTTTTGTGATCTCTTTGGCATACAGACCTAGTAGTGTATTGCTGGATCAAAAGGTATGTATAGTTTGGTTGCCATTTGGGCATAGTTCCAAGTTGCTCTCCAGAATGGTTGGATCAGTTCACAACTCCACCAACAATTCATTAGAGTTTTACATTCTCTACAATGTTTAACATTTTCCTTTTTTGACAGAGTAGCCAATCTGATAGGTGTGAGGCAGTACCTCACAGATGTTTTAATTTCATTTATGTAATTAAAAGTGATTTAGAGAAGGGCTTCTTAAATTGCGGGTTGTAACCTCATATAAAGTCATGTAAGTGAATTTGGGGGTTGTGAAAAATTTGGCAACAGTAAAAGATTTCTGAATGCGTAATGACCAAAATCTAATTCAAAATCAAGCATGTAATGAATCCAAGGAGTTTCTGGCAGTGCTTGTCCATGTTGCAGCATGCAATTTCATTGCAGCCTTGGTTCTGAATACACAACACGTACACTTTATACTGTGCATGCCATCATGCCATGCAATGCCATGTATGTTGCCGGAAACACCTTGGCTCAGATTCAAGATTTGTATGTTATGAATTGCAGTGTTTTTACTGTACATAAACAATCATTAGATGAATTTTTGCTTTGGAGTAGGACAAAATTTCCAACAATTTCTGAAATGGCCCTAAACATATTTCTTCCATTTTATACTCAGTATTTATGTGAAATGGCATTCTCAGCATTGATAATTACAAAATCAAAATATCAATCAACTATGAACAATGTTGAAGATGCTCTATATCCTACAGTATCAAATATTCCACCAAGATTTAATTCTTTATGTAAAAATAAACAAGCACATCCATCTCATTAGTATGCAAATTTGCTTTCTTCTTTAATAAATGGTAAAATCATATGTGTACCAAAGAATTATTTTAAAATAAATTTCTTTATGATTTATTATCAGTAAATGTTTGATTTATATACCTGTTTTATATTCCAATATACCCAGGGTCACATAAAAATTTCTTGGGTGAAAAGGGATCACTAGTAGAAAAAATTTAAGAAGCCCTTATCTAACACAACCTCCTCATTTTACATGTGAGGGAACCAGGGCTCCCATAGGTGAGGTGACTTCCCCAAGATCACACAGGTAATAAGAAGCAAAGCCAGCATTACAGCCCAGGTCTTCTGGTTCTGAATCCAGCACTTTTCCCATGACACCACTCTGCCTCTGTGGATTGAGAAAAAGAGATTAGACTCCACTTATAGAAATACAATAATAATCCAGGTTTGAAGTAGGGTATTAGGAATGGGAATCAAAAGTTAAGGACAGAAGAGAGAAACATGTAAGTTCATTGACAACACGGTCTGTGAATTATTTCCCTTTATAGTTCTCTCCAGGCTCAGTGCACTGCCTTGCACATAGCAGTCACTCAACAAATGTTTTGTTAAATTATATTAAAAAACCAAAAGTTTCATGAAGATAGATAAGGTTAGTTCTAGAAGCATTTGAAGGATTCAGAATGGGCAGATGAACAAAAGAGTAAATACTAGGTGCCAAACATCAATAAGGTGAACCTATATCTGAGCCAGAGAGTTATGTGCTTGTTACTACTGAAGGACATAATGCCATTGTGCATGTGACTCTGAGGCTGAAGCTAAGGGCAGAGACATGGCTGTCCTGGGTGGAAAGGGAGACTGAAAGGACAGCAGTTGAAGGTAGAGTTTAACCCTGTCACTCTCATTACCCACACCTCAGGTTATGGACACCAAGACCCCAGCAAAAATCAACTGAGACTTGTCCTGGTGGGTAAAACAGGAGCTGGGAAAAGTGCAACAGGGAACAGCATCCTTGGTAAACGAGCATTTGAGGCAAGACTAGCAGCAAAGTCGGTGACCAAGAATTGTGCAAAAACAAGCAGATTGTGGAATGAGAGAGAAATTGTAGTTGTGGATACTCCTGGGATTTTTGACACTGATGTGTCTGATGTGGACACTTCAAAGGAGATCAGCCGCTGCCTCATTATGTCCTCCCCTGGGCCTCATGCCATCATTCTGGTGGTCCCACTCAGTCGTTATACCAAGGAGGAACAAGATGCAGTGAAGAAGATCCTGGGAATTTTTGGCTCCAAAGCCAAGAAATATATGATTCTTTTATTGACCCGGAAGGATGATTTGGAAGGTGCTGATTTGAATCAATACTTAGATGAAGGTGGGAATGAAGCTTTGAAAGACCTGATTGGCTGGTGTGATGGAAGATACTGTGCATTCAACAACAAGGCCACTGGAAATGAGCAGGAGAATCAGCTAACAGAACTTCTGCTATTGGTTGAACAAGTAGTACAGAAGAATGGAGGCTTTTGCTACACAAACCAGATGTATCAACTGGCAGAACAGAATATTCAGAAAGAAACTGAAGCATTGCAAAGATCCTACAAGCAAGACCTGGAAAGACTGAAAGAGGAAATAAGACAAGAATATGAAGAGGCAATCAGAAACTTACAGGATGAGCTGAAGCGAAAAGAAAGAGAAAAAAAAATGTATAAGGAAATTGCAGAAAAAGAAGCTTTCTATGAAAACAAGCAAAGAGATGCCAGAAATGAGGTTATGAACTTTAATTGGTTCCTTGAAAATTTCCTGAAAATCTTGGTAGCAGCTTGTCACATCATTATACTCATATTTAAGGATTAAGGAACTTGATAAAACTATTTTATGTTTTCTGCTACTTTTCCAGCATCTTCCTTCTCTATTGGTTATTAATGAATACTCAGGCATCACAAGTCCATCCTACCACTCATGTGTCCAAGAATAAAGATAGTTGCAAACTTTTGTTCATAACAGCTACACTAATATTTAATAACTAACATCTCAGTCTGAAAATAAAAGGACAAATTATTTTCCTGTGAAAATCCAGAAAAGGAAGTTCTAACTCATTCTGAACTGGAAAATATCCCTCCAAGATTCAGAGGAGGAAAAAAGGAACAAAAGTCAAGCACACAAATAGTTTTCAATATTTCTCCATCCTCTCCTCCCTAGAAACAGAATGTATTCTCTGTGTTGTGACTCTCACTCACATTTCTATTGTTGTCCTCATCAAGGGACATATAATAGCTAATAGCTAATATGTGTTTAGGAGTTTAGGGTTTGCAGAGCACTTTACATAATGTTTACTTACAAACACAGCTACATATAAACCATGTCATCTGATTTGACCATCATAATAACCTGGCAAGATAGATACTATTATTATCCACATTTTATCAATAAGGAAATTAAATCTCAGAATCTAACCTTGCTCCTGATAACAGGGTTAGCAAGTGCCTGGGGAAAGATTTGAATTTAAAATTTCCTTTCTCTAAGTCTGACACTCTACTCACTACACCACCTATTTGCCCGTTTTACATTGTCCATTATGTCCTTGCTATTTATCTTAACTGAATAGTACTTATGGAGGGAGAAGATGAAATCCTATTATATTCATTTTTCTTAATCCTAAACTGGAATTGCCCATAGGTTTTCTGCTTCCTAATGATCCTTTCTCTCTCATTGTCTGCTCATTTAAATTGACAAAATTCTATATCATTGACTGTCATGTTACTAGTCATTTTGTCGACAATTCATTTATGTAGCTCTTTAAGATTTACAAAACCTTTCCTCCCAGAAAATCTCTGAAATAATATTGCAGATATTACTCTTACTTTACAGGTGAAAAAATTGCAACTCAGAAAGAATTGGTTTTTCCCATTGTCATGAAGTTGTTAGTGTCAGGGTTAGAATACAAGACTGGATTTCTTCTGATTCCAGTGTCCTTTTTACTATACCACATCACCTCTTTCATTAAACAACTGTTTACCAAACATCTCTGAATTCAATCTTTCCTGTGCCAGTCATATTCAGAGTATAATGATAGGGCAAGTGGAATGTTAAATCCCTATACATCCATAGTCAGTGACTCTGACCCAACAGATGAGAAAATGTGGTTTAATGTGTTCATTTCACTCTGCTAGTTGAACTGCATGATCTTAATAAAATTTTATATTTCTGATTTTTTTTGACAATACAACTTTAATTACTTTTCATAATCATTTCAAAACTTAAATAAAAATGTGACTTGTAAGGACTCCATCAGCTTCATGTATTTCTCATACGCACCAACTTTCAAAAGGAAAAAAAGATTTTTACCTTGCTGCATAATTATCTCCCGATAAGCACTTGCTTTCAACAGCAAAGATCCCAAACCTACGAAGGTACAGCAAGAACATTCTTCCTTGACATCCAGTATTGGATTTAGGGGATTTTACATACAAAATCCTGGCAATGTTTATCCATTCATATCCTCTACTGGATTTCATATTATTGCTATTTTGGGGAGGAGGGGGGAGAAGAATTTGATCTCTGCTTCTGGGGCTTTTACAAACAGTAGTGATGTCTCCCCATGCTGGTTGCTTAGATCCCACTCTCCTGGCTTTCCTGATACTGGCTGAATTCACAGAAATATTACTGATTCTGAGCTATTCCTAGGGTTTGTCTGCTGAGGGCAGGGGGGGAATTCAGGCAAAGGGATAGGAGAAATATTAATTCTATTTTTGCTACTCCCTAGAAGGATTCTTTTCCTTTTCTCCAAGAATGAAAATCTTAAAATTAAAACTTTCAAACCTTCTCCAGTATGGTCTAATGAGTAGGTAGGTAAGCAGAATGGCCACCTTAGTACCATGGTCTCTGACAAAGTCCTATTAAAATTTCAAGCGTTATCTGTCCTTTCAAATTCTGATTAACTAAGGATGATGGTGCTAAGAGCCATGCATCCTGTCAAGGAGATAAACAATGATTTCAGTTCCAAGGTTCACTGTTGTCAGGGAAATATTAGCAAACTTTTAACATTCCCATCCCTCTGGTAAAAATATGTACAGAAATAAAGGGGGAAATTATTTAACTAAATATAGTAAGCACAAAGTGCATAAAGGATTGGGGAAAATGTTTTCATTAAATCTGCTCTATTAATTAAGCCTAGTAAAATATTTGTAAAAATGTTATTTTGTATTTAGGGTTTCTTGAAAGAAAAGAGGAAAACTCTGAACATTGGTCTAATATTAGTCATTTGCCTTGAAATATTGTACAATTATACCTTGGAGAACATATAGCAGAAAATAAAAATCATATAGAAATATAAAAGTAGAAGCCAGAAAGCCAATCAGTGCAGCTAAACAGATGTTTGCTTTTAGTTCTTGGTATCCAAAACCTTTTTCCCACACATTGAGCAGATGCCCTTTTTGTAAGCACAGCCTTGGCAGTAATGAGAACCTGGCTGATGCACAGAACTTTTACGAATTCTGCAAATGGAGAACTTATTCTTTCCATATGGGTCAAATCCTACTTTCTTTGAAGTCAAAGCTTTGTTTTCATTTAGTTTCCTTCCACCACTTTCTGTAGTGTTCCTTGCTCCTTCCTTCCAACTATCTGGAGTAATAACAGTACCAAGTTTCTTTTCATGTTTTTCACAAACCATTCTGTCAGAGGGACCAAGTCAGTTTAACTAAGGAACAGGTTTCTTTGAAATGTAAAGAATTGTTTGGCCCAGGAAACTCCTTCCAGGTCATCAATATTTCTGATTTTTCCAGGCTTTATTTCTGTTCTGTATGGATATGGGGAGAGGAGAGGGAAGCAACAGCACCACAGTCCCTTGGCAAATGAAGACAGGTTTCTTTTTTTGTTAAAAAAAAAAATGAAGGGTGTCTCTGTGTTTGTGTGTGAATTGGTTTCTACCCCGTTGTAGGGATCTGTTGAATGAAGTTCTTCACAATTTGTTTCCAGATATTCTTTGGACCCATCCTCAACTGATCACTGCACATCCCAAGTAGTCTACTCTCTCATATCAGGCTAACACAAATACCTTGCCAAATAAGCTGGATATGTGTGGAGTGAGGCCAAAGGTATCACCTTTGCAGTTCCCCACCTTGCTCCACACATAGACACTCCTTTCTTGTCCTTAGATCAGCAAGATACAAAATGTGAGTACAGATGAAATAGATGGGCTTGTTTGTAGAATGACCACTATCAGCTTCATAACATCACCCAAGGTGGGTCTTTGCCTCCAAGAAGAGCTTTGTTTGTCTGCAAAAGTCCCTGGAGATTACATCTTCCTGGTTGAGAGAGAGAGCCTTTAAGATCAGAGAAAATGCTCTGTAAAGTTTTCTCAAATCCCTGATGTCGCTTCAAGTTCTCAACTGAACTCCCAGGGACATTTCCAGCTTCTACTGATGATAAGAAGCTTTAGGGATCTGATAATGTGCCTCCTTATAAATCCTAAAAATGTCTTGGACCAAGTCGTTGGTGTTACATATGCACTTAAAACATGCTACCCATGTTATAACTATAGATGATTATCTCATTGTGTGAGCTGCATCCAACCCTTGGCTCAATGGAGCCTACCAGCTATAACTTGCTTCAGGCCTGGAGATCAGGTCCCTTAACACACACCAACCCTTTAGGGCTACTCCTAGATGCTAAGGGGATGAGTAACAGCCTTGCTTTAGGACCCCAGCCTGCCAGTGCCAGTAGGGGATTGGGAGAGTAGCTCTAGAATCTATTTGTATTACATGTGGCACCTTGTCTGAGATAAAATATGGGGCCCTTTGACTTTGTGGGGACCAGCTAAAGAGATTCTGTATCCAGGACTTTTGTTATTTCAGACCCTAGTTTTCAGAATTTTTTTCCCCTCTCTTTTCTTTTAGATCATAATTGCAAAGTCAGTTTTCTAGAGTGTTTTCTTACATAAAACCAATTTCTTTGTCATAACTTTTGCTTCTTTGAGTGTTTATTATATGATTGTACCAAATATAAGTATCACTGCTAATATAAGCAGAAAGAATTTAAATCCCTAGAATATTAATGGTTAAAAGTTCACCTAAAACATGCTATGATAGCTCACAAATACTTATATTTTTCTTTTGATTTTTAAAGAAGACCTAGAATATTTTCCTTATTATGACTTGAGTGCAGACCAGGGGTGGGGAACCTTCGGCCTCAAGGCCACAGGTGGCCTTCTAGGTTCTCAAATGCAGTTCTTTGCCTGACTGAGAGTTTTACAGAACAAATCCTTTTATTAAGGGGATTTGTTCTCTGAAGCTTGGATTCAGTCAAAGGGCTGCATTTGAGGACCTAAAGGGCCATATGTGACCTTCAGGCCACAGGTTCCCTACCCCTGACTATTTGTCTGAGTTCTTTGCAGACTGTGGGTCTATGGAGTAAGGTTTACCTCCTAACCTACAAAGCCTGAGTAGTTAACTCTAAGTGCTCAATCCCTTTCTAGGAGCCCCTACTTTTTTGAGAGATTTCCCAAGTATATTTTCTTTAAAATAACCTGCTTGTACTAGTGAGGCATGAATTAGAAACTGCGTTTGGATTATGCAACAGCAGGGGTATATTGGGGAAAATTTTGGTATATAGACTTAGAGGAAATTAGCTTGGACCTACAAGAGGATTGCCTATAGTATATGGTTGTGAGCTGGGATTTGGAGAGGTGTGAGTTAACCCCCCAAGTCCCAAAATATGAACCAGTATTCTTGTAAGCAAAGAAGCTGTGGTGCAGACCTGGGGCAATTGGGGTTAACATCCTCCTCATGGACATTGATCTGGGATTTAGCTATGGGCCTTTTGGACAAAAGGGATATGATTTTTGAAACTTTGGTAGGGAGCTCCTGAGACCCACCTATATGGAACATCATTGCTGATTGCTTTTTTAACCTTCCCAGAGGTTTTTATTTGTTTTTATCCTATGAACTACATTATTTTAAAATTGTTTTGAGAATTGTTTCTACTTGAGGGTATTGGAATGATTTTTGTTGAAATACTTTGCTCACACTCCTGATTCTGAGTGGTTCATTTTATGAGATGCAGGATAGCAATCCTCACGTATAGGAAATTTTGGTATGCTAGGTGCAGAAAAGGGACACCTAGAAATTTTGTGAAGACATCAGTTAGGTGGTCTTATTCACTGAAGGAATCATGAAAGAGTTTTCAATCAGAAGTGTTTGGCTTCTTTCCTGGAGAAAGTGACTTTTATTATTACAGTCCTTTGAGATCACCCTATATCAGCCACACACACACACACACACACATATATGTAATTATTTTGCTTCCTGTGATAACTATTCCTCCCAACTTTGGATCACTGAAAAATCTGATAAACTTGAGATAGATAGAGAGATGCATTCACAAAAGTAATTGATACCAGTATTAAACAGCACAAATCCAAAGATAGATTCCTAAGGACACAGTAATACAGAACTGCTTTTAGATTGAGATTGATCTGTTAATGAGTACTCTTTGGTTCCAGTTATATAACCACCTCTGAAACAATTTATCATCATATAACTCATATATCTCCATCTTGGACAACAGGAATGATTTTGTCAGAAGCTTTGGTGAAATCCAGTCATGCTGTGCTTAGGGGATAACTCTGATATTTTAGTCAAAAGAGCATTATGATTAGTCTGGTTTGACCTGTTTTTAATAATACCGTGCTGACTCCTCTCTTTCAGATATCTTGAAAATCAGTCCCCCAATTCCCTTAAAATTGTTTGCCATCAGCATAGGTACCTTCTCTATGTATATTTGGTCCAGCCCAGGTCTTCTTCTTATCTTTGCTGTCTCTGGTGTCATTTCTATATTCTCAACAGGCACTATGATGTCATGGGCAGCTAGATGGTGGAATGGATAAAGTGCTGGGCCTGAAGTCATGAAGACTCATCTTCTTGAGTTCAAATCTAGTCTCAGACACTTATTAGCTCTGTGACCCTGGACAAGTCATTTACTCTTGCTTGCCTCAGTTTCTCATCTCTAAAATCAGCTGGAGAAGGAAAGGTCAAACCACTCCAAATTCTTTGCCAAAAAAACCCCAAATGGAGTCATGAAGAGTCAAACGTGTCTGAAATGACTGAACAACAGAGTATGATTTCAGGATCCACAGGTGGTGACTGTACTATAATTAATGCTAAAAGAGTTTATTATAAATCATTTTTGTAGATATTTCACTTTTTTTTTCACTTTGTTGTCTTCTAATTATATCCCTAAATGCCATCTAGATGACTTTGCTTAAGGAGGCCTCTCACCAAACTTGTTT